ACAGCCTTAAATAATCGTCTTCATCTGTTGCCCTTATTTGTTTGAGCCATTGGGCTCATTTAGATTCTTCCTCTCCGCTACAGCGACTGTTCTGACAGTTTAGAGCATGAGCAAGGCACTGGGGTTGAAACTAGCTGGATAGAATGCTAGAATGGTTTTAGTTGACTAGACTAAAATACTCTTTCGACTCTGCTCTCCTTAAGGCAAATTAATTATTCGCCAGCGGTTGGCAATCCACCTTCGTCGTCTGGCCAACGAATGGTGATAACCTTTGTACAGCCAGTCTGCAGACTTTAAGATATTTAATTTCTCTCCGGTGGGCACGTCAGTTCGTTATCAGCTAGTCCGCAGCCACTTGGCCGTCGTATGCCTCTCATCGCCCACTTTTTGCCCAAGCATTCACTATCCGCGTCTAGGATTATCTCTTTCTATTGTTGTGCAAATCACAGTTTTTCTGCGAGAATGTACGCCTCATATTAAAAGCCAGGGCGGTGGATAGATGTGTGAAGTGGGATTGAGGGGTTATCTCGGGCTGTAGAGAGAAGCGCAACTAAATACACACATGTGCGCGTGAATTCATATAGGCATGGATCCATACATTTCTGCAACCGATCTTAAGAGTGATAGGATGCCTGTGCGTATATACGCCTACATATAAATGCACATTGATGAGTGGATGTGAGAGATTATCACAGAGGACAGGTTAGTAGGCAGAAATTTCTTCTGAATTGTCCCTTTTATCCACTTGTTTTCTGCCTATGAGAAGTTGATCTCGCTATCACGCCGTTACGTCTCTAGTCACGTCTTTTTCAGTCACCCGGTTTCTTCACTTCTAGGACTATCCTCTAGCCCTGCCTTAATATCCTTTTGATGGCTCACCCTTTCATGCATCTTCTCGCCCCTCGCTCCTGTCCAGCTAAGTCCGCATGACTGCTTTCTCCACCCTATTTCGCCCCTTTACCCTCAGATATCTGCCCGTCCATCGCCATTTCTTGCCTATTTTGGCCATATTTTCCTTCTCCTTTTCTATTCCTCTGCGAAAAATTTCCTTCCCCTTGTTCCAATCGAGTCCTGGTCCCGCGTCTCCATCATTTGACGAAACAATGGCATATAAAGCGGAGATGACTTCATTTCGTTTGAAGAACCTATTCGATACGCTTCGCATGAGGTTGGATAAAGACCTTCAGGCTATCAAAGGATCTAGTCTATTCTCGGCCCTGTAGACCACTGGATCACACTTTACTAAAGACTTATATACACTCCAAATGAACACGTGGCGCTTAATTTAGCGGTACACTTTAAATTTTTTCTAAGGCTTCATTTGGAGCCAAATCTACAGCTTGCGCATTAGACATGCCTCTGGTAGCCAAAAATATGTGCCTTTCCAGCCCTACTGCCTTTCTATCGTCTACATCATCTCCCCATGGCTGCATCACCTTCAGCTCGCCTTGCCCTCATCTCTCTCTTCCCCTTTCTCCCTCCCTTCCGTCTACTCTTACATCTCCTGTTCCTCTTTCGGGTCGCCGCTCTCCTTGCCTTCCAGTAGCATGTGGATGGCAGTCCGTTACCGAAGAGGAAGCCAAATTAACTGGCGATGTGGTCTTCCACCATCGACCATCTGCCGCACCACGTCTTCCTTCGCCTTCCGGGTTTCCGAAACAAGGCAATCTGAATGGTCCAGGCCTAAGCCCCGGCTGCGGAGTGCCAGTGTTCCGGCGTAGCTTTACCAACACGCGAGAGCGCCAACGCCAACACAGCGTCAACCAAGCTTTTGCCGACCTCCGCGCCTTGTTGCCTACACATCCTCCTGAAAAGAAGTTGAGCAAACACGAGATACTTCGACTTGCGATCAAGTATGTCCACGTGCTTGAAGCTGTCCTACTCTACCAAGAGGTCGTCGATGGCCTGCCACCGGCTCCTAGCATCTTCAGGATGCGTAGGAGGGCCACTACAGCTGCCGGCGGGAGTAGTGGTAGTGTCAACGGCGCAGCAATATGTTCTGCCACCCTCCTGCCGGGCTCCGAAAAGGTGACAGCTCGGCTCAAAGACTCCTCCGTCGTTGACCCTCTCTGCCGTGACTACACGGGCTTTGGGTGCTTGAACTGGTGGACAACGGAATCGTCGGACCCTATACCGGTTGTTCTGGAACCTGGTTGCACCTGGGCTACGGCGATGGCTGAACCAAATATTAATGAGGATGAAGCATCAAAAAGCTTTTTTTCAGACGAGTCAGATCAAGAGTATCCGCTCTCACAAAGTAGCTAGACGAAATTTGTTTAAACACTTACGAAAATAACCAAAGTAGAAAAAATATTCTTCATGAACTACAGCGAACTTAAGAATTTCTTCTTGACTCCATCTAGTATTTGTAATGATCTTCAAATGTTTATTTATTAGTACCCAACTTACCTTCCAATTAAATGCTAGTTTTACCAAATGACTGTTATGAATTAGTTTGTCTCTTCGTGCCTTGGTTGATAAATAACTTTTGTCTCAAACGGTATGTACATTATTGTATGCAATATACTGTGAAGAGTGTCATCAGGCATAAAGCCTTCCATGGAAGCATGATCATGTTCTTTCACTCTTACTCCATTAATCCTGCTCCTACATACATAATTTCTAGGATATTTAGCAGTTTGTTTTCATTGCCATACGTTGCAAGGTTGATGTACACCATTTTTAATTAGTTTTTACTAGTTCGCTTGGGCAAAACTCCAACTGATGAGCATTAAGACCATTTTATCAGGCACTCTACGACTAATACCTAATTTACTCCCGCAGGCATTTAAAGCTCCCTACTGCGCATCTCCTCTGTGGCTCCATACTCCGTTTTTATTTCTGCTTCCTTGCTTAGTTTGCTCTCGATAATATGCACTAAATGGTTTTTTCTTTAGTTATATGTTCTTGTATGTTTAGAATCCCTTAGTCCAGAATATTATGTAGTGAGATTGAAAAAGTTTAAATTTTTCCATTATGCCAAGGCCCTCGCAGACAGGAAATCTCTGTTGACATTCCGAACAGGTTGCTCTCTAATGGAAGAATTTCTTTTCACTTCTCTGTGCACCTTTCCATTTGTCCACCCATTGTTTTTGCTGCATCATCCTGCAGGTATCCACCACCTTGATTGCTCTTAGGTCTCAATATATACTTAGTTCTTCTATCATTTAGACTAACTCAAAAGCATAGACATCTGAAGCTCTCATTTCTAGGTAATTAATTATCCTGTATAAAAAGGTTTTGGGATCGAAGGAAGATGATCCACTGCTGTGTTGGCCCAGATGCTTTCTTGCATTGATGGCGTAAATGGTATTTTAGGTTCAAGTGACTAATTTTTCATTCATTTAAAAGAAATGATGTAGAACTAAAAAATAGTATATATTTCTGCTCGAAAATTTTGGCTTCGTATTTTAAAATATCTTAATGTATTTCATTTAGTGTTGCAAATCAATCAGACTTCATCTGTATGAGTAAACCAAAACTTGCTTTTCTCGTGATTTTGTGCATTTACTCACTTTTACATTGATTCGTCGACAGCTTTTAATTTTTTTCTGAATTATTTCATCTCAACGTTATTCATCCACACAAAAGTATCGATAATTATTTTGGAAACTCTCTACTGAAGGGTCCACTTATGTCTTTAATCCATTTTCATGTTTTTCTAACCCAAACGAAAAAAATAAAATTAAAAATGAATTACTTTGCATTTTGTTCACTCCACTTCAGATAAAGGCATATTTAAGCACTGTTTTTACTGCTCTAAATCAGATGTGACTGACGCCTCTACAATCATTGCTTGTTTCCAATATATATCCATCTACGAGTGACATTCTGATCCTCTGCTTGACTGATTATTTTGATGAGGAAAGTGGTATATTTTTAAGAAATTTTCAAAACTTCCTATTTTATAAATTTTTCTGAAATGTTCGGTTTTTCATATGCATTTGCCATTTGGTAGAGAGACTATTTTCGACCTGTATGCTACGCTTTCGCGGGGGTAAATCAGTCGAAAATGCGATGAGGCTCCAATGAGCCCATCGAAAAGGATGCATACTGAATTGGAAAAAGCAAGGGGACGCTTAACTTGTTATGAAAATGGGCCTTAGTTTTATGAACGCCAGGTGGGGAGGTACAGAGGTAGAGGGTTGTAAAGGAGAATTGAAATAGGTAGAATAATTATCTTGCTCGCTTGATGGTGTTGGCCAATGCGTAGCTTTCAGTCAATTAGGTAGAAGGCATTATTGGCCTATGATGCAAACGACTCGTGTTCGAAACCTGATTGTGCGGTTTATTAAACCCGGACGAGGTGGAAACTGCAGTCCGGCATGTATGCAAACTTTGTTCTTGGATAGAAGTTGTTTGACCTTGGTTTCGCAACTTAGTCATATTGGTAGGAAGACTTAGAGGAACGCACCTAGTCCGGAGTCCATTGTATGCAT